GGCCCAGCACTAACACATTGCTCAAGAGAAGCCGGATCCTGTGTGGCACCACAGTTCGAATCCCAGGCTGGGTCAACCTGACACACGCAAGTGCCCAGGCCCCGCCGGGCTGGAAGTGCAGGAAGCTCGGCACAACCAGAACTGTGGGCTCGTCTGCACGAGCTCTGGCACAAAGAAAGAAAACCTGTCTCTTGCCTTCCCCTCTGCCAACCCCCACTTTAGTGAGACGGCAGTGGACCGCCGAGGCACCAGTACAGGAGCCAGGGGAACCCGGACCCCAAGGAGCCTGCACTGCGCTGCTCCACTCCCACCCCAGCCCCTCCGCGGTGCTGCCATCACGTGCTGAGGGCAGTTTTCACAGCTGTCAGCCAGGCCTGCGGGGCCATCCTCGAAGCCCCAGGCAGTGCTGTGGGCTCCATACAAGGCAGGAGCGCGGAGCGGGGCTGAGGGGCTGGTAGAGAGAGGTTCCTGGGCTTTCTTGCCACTGGGCCCCTGGAGCAGGGCAGACCCTCAGGGACCGCGTGGTGGGCACAGGCGCAAACGGAGGGTGAGGGCACACCGAGGTGGGCGCAGCGGCCGGATGCTGCCGGTCAGGCCGGGAGGGAAGCTGGTGGCCACCACTGAGTGGGGGAAGGTGTAAGCTCAGCCCCAAGGGTGGGCTGCACAGCCTATGGCCACCCGCAGGCACCTGCTAGGTTCTGGCCCAGGCCTCTCACCACCCGCAGCGCAGGTGTGGTTATTGTGCTGTTCCAGGTGAGGAGATAGAGGCGTGGGGGCTTCCAGTGACCTGTCCAAGGGCAAAGCCAGGTAGCAGAGCTGGGACTCACCTGGGACTGGCACACTCGAGATTCAGCCCTTTTCCCCGTCACGCTGCCGTGTGCAGGGGTTGGGTGTCTCGGCAACAGTAAGGAGGAAGAAAGATGCCAGAGAACGGAGAGCAGGGTTTCAGCTGCAGTTGCCAGGGCGGCCAACCGCCCCAGAGTGAGGGCAAGGCCCTTCTGACCAGCAGAGAGGCTGCCAAGGGTGGAGGCCATGAGGAAGGGGTGTGGCGGGAGGGCAGGGAGGACAGTACAGGCCAGGGCATGGCAGAGGCGCTAACGGACCTGGGGATGTGGAAAGAGGACAGCGCCACGTGTCCAGTGGGGCAGGGAGGGCGCTGGGGACCGGGGACCCTGGCCCTTCCTCTTCCAGGTGGGACACTGAAGCCCAGGGAGAAAAGTGCTTGGACAGGGCCTCCCGGTGTACCCAGGAGAGAGCACGGATGAGCTCGTGAGTCCTGCTACTGGGAACGGGTGCCCATCCCATTTCTCAAACCCATCTTGTCCCCTGGGGTTGGGGTCCTTGGACTCTGCTTTTTCAACCATGAAAGTGAGGCAGGCCGGCAGCGGATGGCGGATAGACAGAGGCGGCACAGGACGACGGAGGGCTCCTGGACCACGTAGAGGAAGAACAGGTACACGGCGGAACAGCGACAAGCGTGGAGCACATGCTGCAGGGGAAGCCAGCCACAAAGCCCACACGCCCTGTGATCCATCTGCACGACATGTTACGAACAGCAGGTGGCGACCAGGGGCTGGAGGGGCCGGAAGGGGACTGCATATTGCTATAGGGTTTGGATTTGGAGTGAGCAAAGTTCGGCACCTAGACCGAGGGGTGGCTACCGAACACTGTGAACGTACGAGTCGTCCACTTCCAGATCATTAATTTTATGCCATGTGAATTTCAACTGAATCTTAAATGACAGGGCAGGGGTGCTCAGAATAAACTCCAAGAAGGTGGGGCTTCAGCCTGTCTCGCTTGGGCACCCAGAGGCGCGTGGCAGGCAGTCCGAGCCACTGCTGAATGAACGGGCAGAGGGCTTGACTTCCTGGTACCTCACACCTGGCCAGTGAACAGCGAGGACGGTGACGCTCACTGAGCGGCTCGGGGAGTCAGCACTGTCCCACCATTTCCTGTCACTCCTCGTCCTCACCAGAACCCCTGGGGAAGTGCTAAGGGCACCCCGTCTCCCAGATGAGGACACGGCCAGGTGATCTTCCTGAGACCCGGGGCTGGCGAGGGGTGAGGCCGATTCACGTGCAGAGTACCAGCCTCCACGCCTCCACATTGCAGACCGGCCTCGCCAAGTCAAGCTGCCTCAGCCACGTGAAGCCCTGCCCCGGCGAGGCTGTGGGCTGCGGTGCCAGGGCTGCGTGCTCATCGGCTGCGTGGTGCAGCGTCCGTGACGGGGTGAGCCCCAACCCCAGCTCTGCCGTTACTATAAGTTCAAGAGCACGATCAAGCTCCCCGAGCCTGTCACCGGCTGTGAAGTGGGGGTGGTGGTAATATTCCCCCCCCAAGGCCGCTGCGAAGAGTAAGCTGCCATGGTTCACGTGCCAGCCTCAGGAGGGACACACGAGGTGACGGTGTGCTCTTGTCCCTGCAGGGATGAGCCCCACGGAGGTTCAGAACCCCACGGTCATCCACTTCTCAGAGGGGCTTGGGCCTGGCCCTTCCCGTCCACATGGCCTGCCCCTCCTCCGTCGTAATTTGCAATCCTGACCACTGGCTGTTAACCCCAACTGCCAAGTTTACTCCGAGGGACACTGCCGTGAGCAGTCAGAAAAAGGACACTGGAAATGGCCCTCTCCGAGTTTCCTAACCCTCCACCGCGGTACGTCTCGCCTGCTCCTGGTGGCGTTATGTGGGTGGTATCCCTGGGCGTCTGTCCCCACTCTGTGGCATTGATCAGCTGAGTAGGCACCCAGGGCCCCCCTCCGCCTCACAAGCGTGGTCTGTCCCCGGGAGCAGCGGCCTGTGCTGGCAGCCGCAGCTGGCTGTCAATGGCCACTCTCAGACTGGCGTCCCCTCAGGGCAAGCACGCACCACGGGACACACACGTGGCACACATGTGGTGGAGAGCAGTGGCTTTTTATGTGAATGTAAGCACGGTTTGGGCAACAAAGCCCGCCTGTCCTCAGCCTCCCCGCTGTCAGAAGCGTTACC